TCAAAGCAAAAAATATTATATAGACTTCTATCTAATTCAATCAAGTTATAAATAGTAGGAATTAATAAAAAGACTTCCTTATTTTTATTAATAAATATGCAATAATACAATATTCAAACCATCCAAATAGATTGAATTTTGGGTAGTTACACTAACACAAATATGTCTTCTTCTTCTTCTTCTTTTTTTTTTCAATTGTAAGGCCTTTTAAATTTTTTACATTAAACTGAATTGATCTTTGATTATATATATATATATATATATATATATATATATATATATTAAAACCCATAATATTTTAGATAGACCCATAACATATTGTGAGATTTGGCTATTTTGAATTAAAGAAAAAAAATGCAAATCACATTGAAATTAGATTATTTAGTTCAATTTCAATTTAATTGCCTATTTTTGTTCAAAACCGATCAAGTCACCCGATACTCAATCTTATAATGTCTAATATAAGACTCGAGAATACCTTAGCATTAAAATGAAAAGAAAATCATGATTTTGTAAAAAGGTTAATCTTAGATTTCATATTTTTATCCTTGACATTTATTAATCTGGTATTTTTACATTTATTTTTATCGAATCCATCTCCATACTTCTAATAATAAAACAAAATTGAGGGAATATATATTTTGCAAATCATGGCAAATGCATCTCGAGGTTTTCACTTTTCCATATGCACATACTTTTTATTCCAAAATCCAATAAGTAAAAGAATTCTAAAATTAACAAACAAAACTTAAAGAATAACCATCCCGACTATGGATGTATCGTGCATGGCTTTTTTCTCTCTCGATCGTCCGTTCTTCTTTGTCTCTTTTGTTTTCTTTGATTTACGATTGCTCTTTTCTCACTTCTCTACTCTGTTGTCCTTCTTTGCTTTTCTAATTACATGGTCGCCACTACTCTTTTTACTCTCTCTTCTCGCCTCACTAACCCTCTCTTCTTATTTTCTCTTCTTCTCTAGCCGTCATTGCTTTCTTTATGTTGCTATTTTTGTTTTTCATTAATGTGCTAATATTGCTTCCAAGTTTGCAATTCCCCCAAGTCAACATGCCTATTCAAATCTCCATACCGCCGACCTCTACCCTACTTTAAACCATCGCACTCTGTTGTCAATTCACTCTATACCATGCGTATAAAAAAAATCTCACACTATCATCGATGAGAAACCAACGAGTTTAACAAGTATATAAAAATAGCAACAAACAAGGGATAAGAGGTTGGTTCTTAAAAAAATAAAAGAAAAAAATAGAAATAGCTATCGAAAAAACAACAATCGAAAAAAATCCACGAGAGGAAAGAAAAGGATTTACCTATTAATTAGAGCATCGGTACCTCTCACAATCATCTTCAATTCGAATTCCTTGAGGTAAACTAATCATGTCAATGTAATTTTTTTATATATATTTAGGATGTTAGGTAGTTTTGGGTTTCGGAATTTAGAAAATTTTGAGTTTGGATTGAAATTGAGTTTGAATTATTAAAAGAAATGCCAATTAAACGTATTGGGGTTGTCAATTTAGGGATTAAACCCCAAATTTAGAGCTGAATTGAACTAAATTGAAACCTAAGATTTTTGAATTTTTTTAATAGTAATAAAATTTAGTTAGATTTCAAGAGGCTTGAATTGACTTGATCTCAAGAGAAATCAAGACAATTAAGGCTAATTGAAAAAAAAATTAAAACCTAAGGTTTGATCAATTTTGGGTAAAAGATTGAATGAAGGGTTTTTTATTCGATAAAGAATCAATAGAGAGAGTGAAAGGTTGAAGGAGGATTAGAGGAGAGAGAGTAAACCGGAGATGAACTCCGGTTCGTTCTTCCATAGAGATTGGGTAAAAGAAGGAAGAAGAAAACAAGATGAGGCGAAGGAAGAAGGAGAAGAGGAGAGGAAGATAGCGATAAGGGAAGAAATGAGAGAGAGATCGAACCGAGTTCATTTCTTTTGAAGAACTAGATAGAGAGAGGAAGAAGAAGAAGAGAGAAGGAAAAAGAGAGAGAAATCGGGTGTGAGGAAAAAACAAAAAAGAAAGAAAGAAGGTTTGATCTTAAAAAAAAGAAAAAAGAAAATGGAGGTTTAGTTGGTGTTTATGGGCTTAGGTCTAGCTAAAATTAAAATGGGTTGGGCTAAGCCGAACCCATGTGTGCTTGGAATGGGCTAATCTCGGCCTAGTCCAATCCGAAAAAAAAGAAAGAAAAATTAGGCTTGAATGTGCTAGCTATTAATATGTTTTATACTAGAAACAAATATGCCTATGTATTTTAGTCAATAATTAAAACTTTTGTACTTACTAATCAATTTATTTATGTTTCTTAATGCATAATTAAAACTTTTCATTCTTTTTAAAACTCAACCTATATATGTTTCTTAGTATATAACTAGTTAGATATTCACGCTACGTTGCGATCGGATAAACGCTATGTACATAACATTAATGATTTATATGGTGTAGTGCGAATAGAAATTTTATTTCGATAATTAATGTAAGTTGATTTTATATATTAAACGAAATTATTTGATTTATATATATTTATTAACAAAATAATTAATAATATTAGCATAAAAATTTGTATTTAAATAATTAGAAGATTCTTTCAAAACATTATTTAAAAGTATAGATTCTAGAACATGAAAAAATAAATAACAAATAATTAATGTCATGTGTGAATATAAATAATTAATTTTAATACATCTTGTTAATACTTAGAAAATTTAAAATATATAGAATAAATAAAAAAATATAAAAAAATCAACCTAAATTAGATGGAATATATTGAAATGAGTAGGTTAAAATAAAACTACTATACATTGAGTTCTAATAAATTTCTATTAGATATATAAAAAAACAAATAAAACCTATGGATTCTTTTTTCTAATTGATTATTAATTTTTTATGCTAGCGAATTTTTTTTATTGAATAGAAATATTAAGATGTCAAACGGTCAATTGTTCGGATTTCAAACTACTACATGATAGAAAAAATGACATTATTGGTAAAATTTTACGGCAAGATCGAGTGAATACAAATCAGTCTTACCTTCACAATATTTCAATCACCATAAAAAATTCAAAATTTAATCAAAGAAAAATGTCCGTAGGCTAACTAATAGCTAAATTTAATAGTTGATGTTTTTCTTCTTATTCTAACACACCCACATATATGAACATGTACAATATTATCCAGATCTTGTATCAAAATAGCTACTCGAATTATTGATCATGATACATTGACTAAGACCATCCAAAAAAAAAAAAAACTCATTTAGTCAAGAACGAACTAACCAAGCGGGAAAAAGAAGCAAAAAAATCGAACAAAAACTCATTCCCAACCAATAGGCCAAAAAAATGAGACAAGAAATTAGAGGCAACCAAATCGAGACACAAAAGCATTAAATGCATTTTGAAAAAGAAAAGGAAATGCGGTAAAAAAACCAACGGAATAAAGAAAAATGCGGTCAAAAAACCAAGACTTGGGTCCTCTACCCCCACAACCGGCTCGGCGAAAGAAAGAAAATAAGAAGGAAAAATGAAAAGGGACAAAAAAAGCATTGAAACAAATATCAATAACAGAGCATTAATGCAAGGCATTAAATGGTGTAGCCAAGAAGGAACGATGGAGATCGAAAGAGCAAGGCAAACTAGAAAAGCATCGAACAGCGAAGACGAAGCAAGAAGCCATCATAGAGCAACCGAGTTACAATCTACAACGATAATGAGTGTTGTTGAATAGTAAATGAATAGTAATATATTCAGTTTTTTTGATTTTTTAGTAATTAAAATTTTTATACTATTTTAAACTTCAATATATAATAATATTCATAAATTTTATAATAATAAATAAAAAATAATAATAGATAAAGAGAACTCATGTTAGATAAAAACCTATATCTAATAAAAAAAATTATCATAATGAAACACGGACACGCTAGGCTGTCCTATGAAAAAAGTGGGCCAGCTGTCCAGTTCCAACTCTAATAACTGGCAAAACTAACTCAACGAACCAACAATTGTTACAGGGGCCATGTCCCACGGTCAGCACGCACTTTACCAACTGGAAATCCAAACGAGAGGTCATAGAAACGGCGCCGTCCTCTAACTTCCAACCCTCCTCATACAGAATCCGCTTGGGGCTTTTGGGAAACTTCTAGAATAAAATATTCAGTCTAAAAGAAGAAAATAAAAAATGGAAATGTTGGACAACGATCCAAGGCGTTCGTGTCTGTATCTGTTAAATACTCCGACCAATAAAATGGGGGCTACGCGTAACTGTCAACGCGCCCCAATTGCGCGTAAAGTTCCATTTTCTGCTTTTACACAAGCAAGCTAATCGTCCGATGAAATCACGAAACAAGAAACCGCGGATGCAGAGAGAATAAAAATATAGTTGTGTTTTGGGAACTAATCGATTAAGATTAAATTATACTTAGTCTCTCTATCTTTTACTGAATTATAACTTAGTCCTTCATCTTTGAAAACAAAGAAAATATATTATATATTAAAAAAACAATTAATTGATAAATAAACAGAACAAACAAACAGACAAACCTTGAATTTGAGAGGGAGATTAGCCTCTCGATGGTTGCAATAGATGGTGCCGTGACCAGGGCTAGACTCGGCCGACTGGTACCATCCGAGACGACCTCGGAGAGCCAAAGCTTAAATAAATTTATAAATTTAGTCAATAACAAGAGTGTAGAGACTAACATTTAAAGTTTCAAACATTAGGTCCTAAATTAGAATTAATTTCAAATATCTAAACTAAATAGTTATCGCAAACTGCAAAAATAAATAGTAAAAGAAAAAGGAAAAGGAGAAAAAGAATCGAAGGAGGAGTAGAGGGAGGGGAAGGATTTTCATTTCATTTTCCTCTCTGTTTCGATCGACCGACCGTACGTACGCTTCTTTATGAACGGAAAGGACCCTCTGGATTCCAGTTTTTCTTGTTGAGAAAAAAATCGAAGAAAGAATTTTGGACTGGTGAAAGAAGATGAGTGGTGGATGGGAAAGGGTTAGGGGATCCAGATCGAGAACGACTCGCTATTCCAGCTTTGGTTCTTCGGCCCCGTCTCGGACTGTAACACTCGGCCGAGTCCAGCCTCAGGCCCCTGGTCACCGCACCATCTACTGCAATGATCGCGACGCCAATTTCCCTGTCAGATTCAAGGTTGGTTTGTTTGTTTTTTCCTTTCTTTATGTATTTATCAATTTATCCTTATTCGGTTTAATTAATTAATTGTCCTTAATGCATATTATAATTTTCAGGGAAATTCAATTTCAACTACCAAGTATAACTTCTTTACTTTTGTACCCAAAGGATTGTTTGAACAGGTATTAATAATTTCTTTTGGTTAATGCAATTCTTAGTTTCAAGTTTGATAATCTTAGGGCTTAGAATATTTAATTTAATTTTATTTGTTAGGCGTAAGTGTAAAAGTCATAAGGTTGGTTTTTTATCCTTTTTGGTGATCTCTATTCTTGAAAATACTGTTTTTTAATACTGACAGTTTAGGCGGGTGGCGAATTGTTACTTTCTATTGATCTCGATCTTATCAATGACACCAATCAGGTATGTTTGTTATTTCAAACTTTTGGGTTTTGTGATCATCAATATTCTTCTTGATAGACCTGCATTGTCAGTAGCTTGAGCAAAGTCTTTCTTGAAAATGCTGTAGGCAAATATCTTGGACCCGGTTTCAACTTTTAGTTCCTTTTGGGATTATGGACATAAATGCATGTTTATAAAGAAAAAAAGTTTTCTCGTAGCATTTTATCTATGTTCTATTGTATGACTTCGCAGTTTTTTACTTTTAAACTTTATTCTGTTATTACTTCACGGGACTTGCAAATACAGGAAATTACCTCTTGTGCTTGATATTTCTCAAGTGGTATGGTTTAGGGAGAAAAACAGCAATTGATCAGCAGAATTAAGGCTAGAAACAAGTAGGAAAGAAGTTGGAACTGAGCATTGAACTTAGGGTTTAAGAAAACCCCTAGTTTTTCAAGTTTATCGATGATAAATGGCTGTAAATCTGTTTTTCAGCTTGTTTATATTAGGTTTACAATTGAAACTTTTTATTCCAATTTCCGGCCCTAGATTAAACTCCTAGAGAAAGCATTTCAATCCTAGCCATTCAATATTTTAAAGTCACATGCTAGGCACATGACTATTAACTACTGAAATTAAACAGAATTACTAAAAGAATAAAATAACTTTAAATAAACTCCTATGTAACCAACTAACCAAGCTTCTGAAGCAGTTAGCTTACTGCAGTTCAGAAGTGGGACTTTTCACTTTTCTTTGGACAAGGTTTGACCCTCTATGTCTGTTGCCTATTTTTGAGTGTTGTTCCTAATGTCAATGAAAGCTGTTTGTTCTTTTTTAAGATTCTGCATGTGCTATTCTATACTGCTTAGGTTGTTGCACATTTTGAAGACTATCCTCGAGATTTTTCTTCATCCTTGCTATTACAGTTTCTAGCATCTAAAATGTACACACATTGTACTTAATTAGTTTTTTTAATGGTGCAGTCCTGTTAATCCAGTGACAAATGTTGTCCCTCTGAGTTTGGTGCTGCTTGTCTCTCTCATTAAAGAGGCATTTGAGGACTGGGTGAGTGTCATTCATGATTATTGTGGTTTGCATGCTTTGTCTTTTGATTCCTCTTTTAGAATGATGTGTTTGAAGAATGAATTATGTAAGTATCTTCTTCAATTTTAACATCAGTGTTGGGAGAAATGCTAACTTCCTATCTTTTGTTTTTTTAATTATGTTCAACAGAAACGTTTTCAGAATGATATGGTAATTAACAATACTCTTATAGACGTGCTGCAAGATGAGAAGTGGGAGGCTGTACCCTGGAAGAAGTTGCAGGTTGGAGACATTATCAGGGTGAGTGTGCTTGAGTTTTTTGTTATTTCCCTGTAAATATATATATATATATATATATATATATATATATATATTTTATCCATTGTCGTTATCTCTCCAGATGGGTTTGGAGTTTGGACCATGAGCCCCTAACTCCCCATTGTGTAAGGGTGCAGGTCCTTGAGCTTAAAAGTTTCTGTCATGTGTGCTGCAATTTTATGCTTTCTTTAAGGCTAGATTAAGTTATGAAGAACATTCTGGTAGTTGATGTCATCATCCTCCTTGTGGTATTTATAGACTTTCTGTAGGGATGCTTGATATCACCTCCTCGTTATTGGCCATAGCTTTTCTAACTTATTTTCTAATGTTGATATGTTGTTATCGTTCTTGGCTTTTCCCCCTTTCATTCTTTGTTCATCTGCTGTTGCTGTTGTACTTTTGATGTAGTGGTTGGTTTAAGTGACACAAATAATTCTGCTATATGGGAGCATTCTAGGCATAACCTATACAGATGGAGAGTGTTTTATGGATATGTTGTTATCGTTCTTGGCTTTTCCCCCTTTCATTCTTTGTTCATCTGCTATTGCTGTTGTACTTTTGTTGTAGTGGTTGGTTTAAGTGACATTGTAATTCAGCTGCAAGTCGAAGGTGACTAGATAAGGCTATACAGGATTTGGATCATTAATTACTTAGTTCCCTGACAATAGTAAAATTGTTGCCTAGTTTTGACTGTTATAAAAATTGTCAGCAACAATCTTGCTGTCTTGCTGAATGTGTTGGGACTGTAAGAGATGTATGGAAATACATTTTATGGAAATTCTCTTCTCTTTCTAAAGATGGCTTGATTTATGTTGACTACATATTAGGATTTTGGATTCAAGATTGACGCAACTAACATATACATTTTATATGAAAAATAACCGCTGTCATTATAATCACTATCAAGAAAAATTTCTCTGAAAGCTTCTCAGTGTGTGTGTGTTTTTGTTCTTTTGTTCGTTTGAAGCTTATTTTGCATTGATTACAGGTTAAGCAGGATGGATTCTTTCCTGCAGATCTGCTTTTTCTAGCAAGTACAAACGCAGATGGTGTCTGCTACATTGAGGTTTTCTTTTACTATAATCTGTATATAGCTATTATAATAATTGTTGTTTCTGTTGGTCTCATTATTTCATTACTATTGCCTTGAAAGTGTGAACTGATCAGCTGGTACCATTTGTATTTTCTTTAATTTTGCCTTCTGTTTTTCAGACTGCAAATTTGGACGGGGAAACAAATTTGAAGATCAGAAAGGCACTGGAAAGGACTTGGGATTACTTGACACCTGAGAAAGCTGCTGAATTTAAAGGTTATTTTGGGTTTGCAGGCCACAATAGATGAATCTGTGTCTTTCTACATGCTCAAGGTTTAGAATTGCATGCTTAGGAAACTTTCATTAATGAAGTTGAAAAGTCCTTGAACAGACCATATAACTCAATTAGCTAATCATGTGATGCAACATGTTGATTGCTGATTCTCTCTTCTTTTTTCCAATGCGGTGATGATCTATTGAAGAAGATGTAAGTAGCGACTAGATAGGGTGTTCTTCAATGTCCCTGACAACTTGCTTGCAGGTGTCAGCGTGATATCTGCTATAGATACCTTTTCCACTTGCTATATGTTGGAAATTAAACTTCTCTCGTCTGTGAAAGCTCCTCAATAATCTTCTTTTTGGTAGATTTTTAATTTTAGTTTTCAAATGTAGACTTCTCGTTGTCCCCCTTGTTGTTACATTCTAGAGCTTTGTGAACGACATGCATGTTGTAATGGGTCGTGTCTGAAATGGCTAGCTCAATATTTCACACTTTATGCTATGGCTGTACTGTAATCCTGACTTAATGTGAAGTGGTTGGTTCACAGTAGCTCATCTTTATTTCTAGATACTAATTTATGTTGCTTAAAACTGTTATGAATTAATCTTATTTAAACAATATTTTTCTTCTTCTTTCCCCTGTGCTTTAAATTCCACTTTTCGAGCATGATCATGTGAATTACCTTACAAGTCTCCTTTTGTTACTGCAGGCGAGGTGCAGTGTGAGCAACCAAACAATTCGCTATACACTTTCACTGGGAATCTCATATTCCAAAAGCAAACATTGCCTCTCACTCCAAACCAAATTCTTTTAAGAGTATGTTCGGATTCATCTTCCTTGAACCTTATGTTAATATTTATGTTCCTCTTCTTTCGCTATCATGAAATTAGACAGGATATATTTATCGAAGGCTTCGCATAACAGCTATATGATCCTCAATCTATTAAAAAAAAAAATAGACAAAAGGAATGTATCTATTTTCTTAAATCTCTTTGATTGGTGACTTCCTCTAACTCTTTAGTGAAAATACTCTTGGATTTGCTTGCTAACCACATATTTTGTGTTTCCAGGGATGTAGTCTTAGGAACACGGAGTACATTGTTGGTGCTGTTATTTTTACAGGTCAAGAAACAAAGGTTTGTTAGTATAATTTGGAGCACAGTTCCTGTTAATCCTTGCTTACCCACATTGCAGCTCTTCTTTTGTAACAAATGCATGATTAATTCCCTTGTTTGTGGCAAATGATATAACTCCTATAGATTTCAGAAAAGTAATTCTATGTTATTGTGACTGTATTTCCCGAATTAGTTTATTATTTTTCCTCTACAGCTGGTGGAGTAGTAGATTCATTGTTCTTAATAAAGGAAATTTTATTAATAATCGGACTACACAAAGGGAAAAAGGGAAAAATTCTTTAAAGGAAAGGTACAGGAAGTAGATCAGAACAGTACCTTTCCTGTTGAATGTTAGAAAAAGAAACACGTGGAAATCCACATGGAGTACAGGGTAAGCTTTAAGGAAGCTAAGAAAACATATATCAAATAAAGCTTGCTTTTGGAAAGAGAATTATACTTGACAATTCTCGATAAGAGACTGCTCACTTACACATTGAACATCGAAAAAGTGGGGTATTTCCATTACATTTTGCTGTTTCCCTCTCCCAAACCGCTTGGATGGAGTAATAACTATTCTATCTCTGTCAGTGAATAACCCAATGCTTGCTACCAACCATAGAACGGCAATGCTGTGAAAAATGAAGGGGGATATGCGAGTCCCTACTAATTTTAACACAACTCAAATGTTTGGCAACAATGCCTTACAGGGTCTTCCCATTTGTAACATGTCAGTATTGACTTTTTATAAGAACGACCTTCCAAATGAATGCCTTATTATTGATGGAACCCTGGGTTGCAGACAATATTGGCCAAGGGAAATAAAGCAAACGGGAAGACTGAAGATGGGTAAAAGCCTTTACAAGAAAATATACTAGTCCAAGATTTCCCCACTTCTATCAGGCCTCAATGAAAAATTAGGACTGTTAAGATTTGAGGATTGGAAGTATAAAAAGGTTCCATTTTCCCTTTGGCTGAATTACCCTACACTTTTCTTTTTGGAACAAATTTTCTTTAGAGGGATAGAGACACCTTTTATTATTAAAGGATGCAAATGTTTTATGTTATAATGCTACAAAATCTTGTCATATTGACTTTAACTTGTTGGTGTTTTCCATTTTGTGTCTTTTTTTATTCACTCTACTCATACTGCTTTATGATGATTTGATTCAATCACAGGTCATGATGAATTCCATGAATGTTCCTTCCAAGAGGAGTACATTGGAGAGGAAACTTGACAAACTTATACTTGCTCTTTTTGGAACTCTATTCATTATGTGCCTCATAGGAGCCATTGGGAGGTATGATATTAACTAGTCTTGGAGTTTTTCCTAAATTGCTATTCCTCTCTGTTTTGAATTGCGCCATTAGATCATGTTTTCTGCTTCATGAAATTCTGCAGTGGCATATTCATAAACCGCAAGTATTATTACCTAGGTCTTGATAAAGGCGTGACTGCAGAGTTTAACCCTAGCAACCGATTTGTGGTAATATATTCTTTCTTCAATTATGCTTTTGTATTGGCTTTTCCTTCACAATTTTTTCTTGGTTTTTATTTTCTTTGTTGGATCTATAGGTTGCAGCTCTAACTTTGTTTACCCTAATTACTCTATACTCGACAATAATACCAATCTCTCTGTATGTTTCTATTGAGGTAGGTATCTCATTTTCATCTGCTATAGTATTGTGGACATATATTCTTACTGAATGTGCCATGTTTGATAATATTTTTAAATTCATTTTCAGATGATTAAATTTATTCAATCTACTCAATTTATCAATAAAGACCTACATATGTACCATGCTGAAACCAACACCCCTGCATTGGCTAGGACTTCCAATTTGAACGAGGAACTTGGACAGGTAAACTGACAGTGTTTGTGTGCAACTAGCTGATTTATTTTCATCATAGTCATTAATATGCAAATTTCTATGCACATTGTATTGTGACAGAGGACTGCCATTGTGAACTATATAATTTGTTACTTTTCACTTTATGCTTTGTGAAATTTTTTGAATTGATGGTCTTGTCAGGTTGAATATATCTTTTCTGATAAAACTGGAACTTTAACAAGAAATTTAATGGAGTTCTTTAAGTGTTCAATTGGAGGAGAGGTTTACGGATCTGGTGTCACTGAAATAGAGCTGGGAGGAGCTCAGCGGAATGGCATGAAAGTACAAGAAGTACGTGCTGTTTTTCAATTCATGAAAAAAAACTACAACTAGTCATGTTTGAGCATAGATGTTTTACTTCCTATCAGCTTTTTCGTCATTCTCCAGTTGTGGAAATCAGTAAGATCTCAATATTGTTTAATTTCTTCCAGGTGCGGAAATCAGCCACTGCAGTTCAGGAGAAGGGGTTTAATTTTGACGATCATAGGATTATGCGAGGAGCTTGGAGGAATGAACCCAACTCTGATACATGCAAGGTAGCTCTTTATTCAGCAGGATTGCAATGCAATTTCTGTTTCTCTATTTGAGTGTATTGCTTAGCAGCATAGAGCCTTCTGTGTGTATTTTAGTTGGAACCATTTGTTGAAAACAGGAATCTTGGTTTTGGTTATTGTCACTCTCATCGTATTGGTCTCTCGCTTTTTGGTTGTTTTTGTATTTCTGAATTTTTGTTTGTTGTTGCATGGGTATGACTGTACCTTGGATGCTATATATGTGATTGTTTAGATATGAAACCATGATTGATGGTAGTTGCTTAGACTAGTTTGACATAATGACAGTTCTACTTTTATGCACATAAGAAAGTAACTGAGAAATTGTCGTGATCTTGAAAGAGAGAGTTACAATTTTTTTCCTAATTCTCGGATTGAAGTATGATACTTTCGCTTTTTTTTTTTTTTATTCTTGATTTCTTAGGTATAGCTTTTTGGGTGCTTTGAAACACTGCCTGTAAATTGACCAAAATCAGGGTTTTCTTTCTTTCCTTTTTGTAATTCTTTTTTGTATTCTTCAATCATTGTTATATGATTATTAGTGCAATGTAGAAGATGGGAATATTAAAATGCTATTGATATCTTATCAATGATTATTTTGAGAAATGCCAAAAGTAGTGATTCTTTGAATTGTTTATCCACAGTACTTGAACAGTGGCTTGTAAACATGCGATGGAGGATATATCTTTATCCATAATGTGTGGTATTTCAAGTCATCTATCTTTTTTTTTTTTTTTTTTTGTAGGAATTTTTCAGATGCCTTGCTATATGTCACACTGTACTTCCTGAAGGAGATGAGTCCCCAGAGAAAATCACATATCAGGCTGCATCTCCTGATGAGGCTGCTTTAGTTACTGCTGCAAAGAACTTTGGTTTTTTCTTCTACAGGTTCGCTATTGCAGTACTGTCAGATGTTGAAATATGTTTTGTGATTGTGATTTTTATTTTGTGCTTAAAAAAGAACCCAAGCACGAAAAATGTGTTTGCATCAATCACTTATGAACCTCTGAATAATTGTTGAGGCTAATAATTGGTTTTTTCTTAGGCGCACACCTACTATGATATACATTCGTGAGTCTCATGTGGAGAAGATGGGTAAAATTCAAGATGTGGCTTATGAAATTTTGAATGTTCTCGAGTTCAACAGGTAAATGCACGTCCTTCCTACCAACAATGTTCCATTTAAAAGCTTGTGCTTGATATCCCTAACATCAATTGTAATAATTGTTGTTAATATAGCACAAGAAAGCGCCAGTCCGTTGTTTGTCGATATCCTAATGGTAGACTTGTACTATACTGCAAGGTATATTTTCTGAAGATTTGTTATATGAATGAAAATTGCAATTGGAATTTGACATGGAAAATGACACTCAGCCAGATACCTGCTTTTTACAGGGTGCCGATAATGTAATTTATGAGAGATTGGCTAGTGGAAATGATGATCTAAAGAATGTAACCAGGGCACATTTGGAACAGTTTGGGTCTGCTGGATTACGTACCCTTTGCCTTGCCTACAGGGACTTAAGTGCTGAAACATATGAAAGCTGGAATGAGAAATTTATACAAGCTAAATCTTCTCTCAGAGATCGTGAGAAGAAGTTAGATGAGGTATTTACTGTCTGGACATCTTTGTTTGGTGTTGGTGGGTGGGGTTTTGTTTCATTGATGATGATGAAAGTTAATGAATGACTATTAGTTTTATCATCTTTCACATCATATGCTTTGCAGTAAATACTTATTATATAGATTTTGCTTCTTAAGAAGTATCTTCTCTGGTATTAGTTTTTTTTTTTTTTTTTTTTGGGTGGGGACGTTTTATCTTTCATGTGAGATTGTTTGATGTGGTATTTAAAGAAATTTTATGCTAATTTTTGTTTTATTATTTGACTTGGTGAATCTCGGTATGTTAGGATGTCAGATGCTAGTGCAGTTTGGTATTGTGTGATGAATATTTGAAAATTGTTAATCATTAGGTTTCCAACCATTGCAGCATAAAAATGGAATTAGCTTAGATTGTGTCATTATAAACTCTTGCCAAATGATTTTTGAATGCTAGAATCCTGAACGAGTCAGTTTGTTTAGAATGAGCAAGTCTTTTTTCCCCAAAGTCATCGCATGGTAAAACTTGATTTTTGCTTTTTATTTAGATGCATTTAATTCATCCTCTCATAGAGATTCTGAAACTTGCTTAGGTGGCAGAACTTATAGAAAAGGATCTTATTTTGATTGGAAGCACTGCTATAGAAGACAAGCTTCAAGAAGGAGTACCAGCTTGTATTGAGACTCTTTCTAGAGCTGGGATTAAGGTTTGGGTGCTAACTGGAGACAAGATGGAAACAGCAATAAATATAGCTTATGGTGTGTTGACTATTCGAATGGATCAATTTTCCTCTATTTTTGGTCTTGAGATATGTGCTATTCACTTAATTTTTTGTTTTCAGTTTTTTGATTTCTCTTTGGCTATATGATTCCTGCAGCATGCAACTTGATTAACAATGACATGAAACAGTTCATTATCAATTCGGAAACTGACGCAATTAGAGAAGTTGAAAACAGGGTAAGCTGCATTTCCCAGCCATCTTTTTGTCAGACGCATACCATTTTTCATTGTAAATCATTCATCAATTGTGTTAACAAAATTCTTTTTCCAGGGTGACCAGGTGGAAATTGCACGCTTTATCAAGGAAGAAGTCAAAAGAGAACTGAAGAAGTGCCTTGAGGAAGCGCAGCAGTATTTACGCACTGTATCTGGACCAAAATTAGCACTTGTTATAGATGGGAAGTGTTTGATGTATGCATTGGACCCAAGTTTACGAGTAATGTTGCTGAATTTGAGCTTGAATTGTACTTCAGTTGTTTGCTGCCGAGTTTCTCCTTTACAGAAAGCACAGGTGATTTTCCTTTGTGGAAGATTTATCTATTTCATGCTTGTGCTGGGCTTTGTTCTCTTTTTTATTTTGCTGTTGATGCTATGCCTGATACCAAAATCAAGTCCTAGAATGTTGTATCATAAGAAATTATTATATTATAACCTCTGGAATAAAAGATTGCAATTCCTATGGCGTCCTTGCAAATGAATAATGGATGTGATTGGCACTTAAAACATTAGAGCTAAGGTCAATACCTTCTTTTGGCATTTTAACTGGTGGTAAACTGTTGTAAAGACACAAGATGCTTCAGCTGTGGACTAGATGCTATTCCTGGATCATCTTTTGCTATGTTTACTAAGAATGTCTGCAAGAACTTTATCTTGAGTGGCAGAAGCATTTGAAAATTTGCACTGAAATTGAATTTGCTTCCTCCAAATTAAAAGAGCCTTTACCCAGCCAGGGGAAGGGGTGGAAAATTTAGAGGAAGTCACCTCAGGCATTTTTTCTTGAAGTGGCTGCTCACAAGACTTGACCATGCAATCTGGAGTTTATAAGCCCAAGCCTTTTAACATTGTATCTTGCAATTGTCCCTTAATAAACAACTTATTATCATTAATATGACATATGAATAATTTCCTGGTGTTTGGTTTCAACATTTTTGAATTTATTTTGCAGGTGACTAGTTTAGTAAAGAAAGGTGCACGTAAAATAACTCTTAGTATAGGGGATGGTGCCAATGATGTAAGCATGATTCAAGCTGCACATATTGGTATTGGAATAAGTGGGATGGAAGGGATGCAAGCAGTGATGGCTAGTGATTTTGCAATTGCTCAGTTTCGCTACCTTACAGATTTACTTCTTGTGCATGGACGGTGGTCATATCTTAGAATATGCAAGGTCTGTGATTCTACCAATTTTCAGATCTTGTGAAAATTAACTTGGTGATAACATTCCTGAGTTTCTGTATTGCAGGTCATCACATACTTCTTTTACAAGAATCTTACTTTCACTTTGACTCAATTTTGGTTCACCTTTCAAACTGGTTTTTCTGGTCAAAGATTCTACGATGATTGGTTCCAGTCATTATATAATGTCATATTCACAGCCCTGCCAGTGATCATTGTTGGTCTTTTTGATAAGGTGCTCCTTTCAAATCTGATTTGACGAGAATTTCTTGCATCAGCTGTGTAACCAATTTGGTCATTTTGGATTAAGTGTCTGAAATTAATTATTTAATGGCTTTTCCAAAATTAGAAACAAACCAAACTGAAGTAAAAATGCCTACTATTCAAGCTGAGAATAACTACTGCTTTGGTTTGTTCAGTTTGTTCTAGTTTTCAGCATTCTAGATTTGGCTTCTTGTTTTAGTAATGGTCCAAATGAAATAATTCTTATTGTATGTATGTTAAAAATCATTAGTTTTCTGATTATTTAAAGCTGAATTTTTAGTAACAGTCAGTTGGTTTATCTTCTTATTTGGTTTTGGGTGTCCAAAACAGAACAAAAATTCTTTAATTTTCTGATTATTTAAAGCTGAATTTTTAAGATAGCCAAACTCTAGTTTTCAAAATACATTAGTTCAAAATTCAGTGCTGACTGAATAACGTGCACAGCTAGTTTTGACTTATGATTCTCCTTTGGTAATTCAAATGAGGGACGTGTGTGTGTTGCTTAATTTTTGTTACACTCTTCATTTCTTGTTTATAGCTGAAATTTGATTTGTTTTTCCAGGATGTCAGTGCATCCCTTTCAAAAAAGTACCCTGAACTGTACATGGAGGGAATAAGAAATGTCTTTTTCAAGTGGAGAGTTGTGGTCACATGGGCTTGCTTTTCTGTGTATCAATCTCTTGTCTTCTATCACTTCGCGACCACCTCCAGTGCCAGTGGTAAAAATTCATCAGGCAAGATGTTCGGACAATGGGATGTCAGCACCATGGCCTTCACTTGTGTTGTAATCACTGTCAACTTGCGTCTCCTTATGATATGTAATTCAATTACAAGGTGGCATTATATTAGTGTTGGAGGGAGCATTTTGGCATGGTTCTTGTTTATTTTTGTATATTCTCTATTACGGGTTAGTCTTTTTCATTGCTTCTTTTTGCTTGGATTCTTTTGTCTTTCTCCTTTATAATTGTGGAATTATATACATACTAACTTGCTCCTCTTTACATTCACTGTAGGAGAATGTTTTTTTTGTCATATATGTGTTGATGAGTACATTCTATTTCTACCTGACGGTTCTTCTTGTTCCTATTGTTGCACTTCTTGGCGACTTCATTTACCAAGGGTAAGATTCAGGAGCAGCTTGAAGGGCTTCATAGATTTTTTATAAACCAATTGCATTTTCAGATAGTTCTTTCTTTGTCAGACATTTTCCTGTTGTTTCAACTGTTTGTTGGTATGCTTGGGTACAGGGTTCAAAGATTGTTCTTCCCCTATGATTATCAGATTGTTCAGGAAATTCACATGCATGAGCCTGATGACAACATCAGGGCAGGATTACTGGAGGTTGGGAGCCAGCTTACACCACAGGAAGAACGGAGCTATGCCATAGCTCAATTACCAAGAGAGATATCAAGACACACTGGCTTTGCTTTTGATTCACCTGGGTATGAGTCATTTTTTGCCTCACAGCTAGGTATATATGCCCCGCAGAAGGCATGGGATGTTGCTCGGAGAGCCAGCATGAAGTCGAAACCGAAGATGCCCAAAAGGAACTAAATAAACAAATATTGTTGTTGTTATTGTACAGAGTGTTTTAGGTTCCATCTTAGGTGTCGATCTTAGTTGTCTGTAAATTTAGATCTGTCTATTTAGAGCCATTTTATGTTCTCTTCATATATATATTTTTTTTAAGTTTTACCTTAAATTTGTTTCATCGGGGAACTTGTAGGTAGGTTGGATCACAATTTATGTACAGCTAAGTGGTATAAATTTTACTGCGACTAGAATTTTGGTGGTGCGAAATGATTTTGTTTTCGAAATTTACAGAATTATTCCAGTCAATTTGATTGATCTAGGGGAGTCCCCAATTAAGTATTACCTTATTGTTAGTTTAGTTTCAAATCTTTTAATGCTTCAAACGTAATTGATGTTAGATGATCTTATTTTTTCATGCAGCTATTGTTTTCTTCACTTTGCACGAAGTGGTGTCGAAACAAATCCTAATCTGCCATACAAAACAACTTTAGTGATAAACTAGTTAGATATTCAGGTTATGTTACGGACAGATAATTATTATATGTATAAAGTTAATAATTTGTATGGTGTAATGCGAGTAAAAAATTTATTTTTGATGATTAATATAAATCGAATGTATATATAGTTAATTTTTAATAAAACTAATGTTATATATATATAACAAATTATAGAAATATATTGAAGTTAACAAATTAAAATAAAAACTATAACAAAATTGGTGCTGATAAATTTTGAATAGATATATATAAAAAAGCAAATAAAACTTGTGAATTTTTTGAATTCATTATTATTTAAAAAAAAATTGAGTCAAACTATCTAAAGTATACTTTTAGCTCTCTCTCTCTCTCTCTCTCTCTCTCTCTCTCTCTCTCTCTCTCTCTCTCTCTCTCTATATATATATATATATATATATATATAAAGTAAAACACTCATTTAAAAATATAAAAATAAATAATTTATTGTATAAATTATAATAATAAAACTCAGTCAAATTATTTTTTAATTGATTATTATTTTTTAAAAATAAATTTAAATCATTTAAAACAAACTTTTAACTCTTTGTGTCTTATTAGAGTTTATATAAGTAACAATGTCATTTCATATAAAAATCATAAAAATAATCAATCGTATAAATTCTAATAATATATCTTAAAAAATAAATTTAAGTAAAAAATAAATCGTATAAAAATAAATTATTTAGTTGTGTCTCGTCTATGTTCATTTATTGTCCGGATTAAATTTGTTTTGTGTAGTAATTTGTGGATTGATTTGAGGGTGGTTGAGGAGTGTTTCTTGTTGAAATAGTATTGGTGAAATTCATCTTCAAGGTTATTTGTGTTTGTCTTCTACATGTTAGGGTTGTCTTTACAAATCTAATATCAATAAAGATAATTATAATAAGTACAAAAAAATTAAAATTATATAATATCATTGTGATTAATTGTATCAATATTACTTTAAGTTTTCCTTTTAATAGCTAAATAAAATTGTGTTTAAAATTTTTTTAAGCAAATATTATTTTTTAAGAGAAACAATCATCATTTTATTTCTTTTCTCTTATCAGCTTGCTTAAGAATTTTCATGCTTATATAAGAATAGAATAAATTAAGAACAAATTAACTATTAAACTACAATTAATATTTTTAATAGATTCACAATAGCTCGTAACAGCCATGTAATAGCTAGCAACGATTGTAATGATTATTAATAGTAATTAAAATTATTTAATAGCATAATGATTAATTATACTATTATCACCGTAATCCAATAAATATTAAAAATCCGACATGAAAAAAAAATCTCAGCTAGCATAATACATGTTAAGTGTCCGAGATATCACATCTCACTAAAATTGTAGCCAACATAATAGACATCAATTTGGCTATTATTATATAGATATAATTTGAATTTTTTGGAGGTTATTTTCGTAATAGGTGTAATAAGTGAGCTTCTACGATTGTATATAGTTTTTTTTTTATTAGTTCAAAGTAAAATTATTATGAAAAAGGTAAAAAAATCACGTGTTAAATTGATAAATTATAAATAAACCACGAAATTATCTTTTAATGGTATTAAATTTGAATTAGTTTAGTCTGAAAAATATTCTATCAATCGATCAAAAACTAAACTTATTTTAACATCGATTTAGTTCAAAAAATGATAAATTTAGTTTTTATTGATGCAAAAACTAACTAAAAAATATCATATTATACATAAATATTCATAAATAAATAATAAACTACTAAATTTAAGTATCAAATTCACTTTCAATTTGGTATGTTTATTTGAAAAGAAATTGAAAGATTTTTAATTATATTCATTTAATTCAATATGGCAAACTATATAACTATAAACGTCTTGAATATTAAAGTTATTTTTCACTACATAAAATTTATAATATCTAATATCGTTTTTATCTTATTTCATATATAAACATCCACTCTCAACATGTATGTTAATCAAATACTTTTTTCTTTGACAACAATCACAACTAATAACCAAATTTATAGCTACAATTGCAACCAACATCTAAACCAAAACCAAACATATGGATAATTAGCTTGTGATTTGAATAAAAGGGTTGAAATCCTCACTTCATGTTATAGAGGCTTCAAGCCTAGATTGAAATAAGCCACTCAATAGGCTTTGGAGAATTTTTCTAGCCATGCTTTGGGCCGTGCTTCCCATCAGGCACGCAAAAAAAAAAAAAAAAAAAAAAGTAACAAAAAAGATCAATTTATTTGTTTGTTAAAGAACGAAGGACCGAAGCAAAAAAAAGTTGATGAATAGGGATAATAAGTCTAGAGTTACAGTGAATGAATGAACAGTTACACTCTTATTTTTTTTAGTTTTTTCTATAATTATATTGAATTTTCTTTCACTCCACTAGCTTTTTTACAAGGGACGAATAAAAGTGAATGAAGAAAAAATTACTATGCTTTAATAAAAATTGTCTTGAATCAGATATGGGGTTTATTTTGGTGTTTTGGATGGAAGTACATCAGGGGAGCATGCCATTCATCTTTTAACTTTTTCTTCTAATGTTGACTACATTCAGGGTAAAATTGAGAAAAAAAAAAAAAGAAAGATTGGGACTCCATTGATATGAAGTGATAAACTACGCGTTAAATTGAAGTTTCTTCATTGCTTAAATGTCACTCCAAAATATGTACAAGTGGCGATAAAGTGCAATATGATTACTTTTGAAAATAAGCTTTTGTAAAAAATATTTGATCGAAATTTACTTAATGTTTGTAAAATTTAGTCAATTCAATGGAATCGCATTATATCGAAAGATAAATATCTATCAATTTCTTTTTTTAAATGTTTAAGAAAAAGAAAAGTTAATTTTTTCAAATATAACAATGATGATGATGACGACGATGATGATAAGTTTCAAAATTTATAAGGAGTAACAAAATTAAGTTTTTTGAAAAAAATATAAGCTTTCAAGATGTTTAAAGAGAAAAAGAAAATCGAAATGATCAAGTATTTTTTTTTAATAAATGCTTAGTTATTAAGAATTTGAAAATTTTTAGATAATTCAAATTTTTGTTAAAGGGATAAAAAAATTCAGAAACAATCAGCCATTAAAATCTTTGAAAATCTTAATTTAATAAAATAAAAAAATTAATATATTTTTGAAAATATTTAAAAAAAGGAAACAAGTTTCGAAATTTCTCTAAAATTAAAATTAAAAAATTTTTTAGAGTGAAAATTTTAAGGAATAAAAAATAAAAATAAATAAATAAATAACGCTTAGCCATTATTTTTTTTTTCAAAATTTTTAAATTTTAATAAATAAAAACCATTTATTTCAAAGAAATTTTCTCAAATAAAAAAAAACCCTAAAATGATGAATAATACCATATTTTTCTTTTATATCGAGTATAAATTATTAAAATTATTTTCTCGTTAAATTTTGTTATTTAGTTAATGTTAAGGAGAGAATTTTGGAAAGGTTTTTGCAACTCGTTTATTCATTAATGAATTAGTTACAAGTTTGTTATAACGATCTATAAACTCTTTGGTTGTAATCCTCTACATCTCTCTCTCAAACACACACAAAAACATACATAGCTGAAAAATACTAAGTATAAATGCTCTTCTTAATACTCTCCCTCAAGTTCATGATTTGTCCAAGTAATAAATACCCTATTTGGACAAAAGGTATTGGTGATGCTTATTGCCAAGTCCTTTTGTAAAAATCTCTACAATTTGCTTTTATGTTCTAACAAACACGAGTCTTGATCATCAATTCTTTAAACTTCTTTCTAACTAAATTACAATCAATCTCTATGTGTTTAGTTCTTTCATGAAACATTGGCTTTGAAGCAATGTGTAAGGCATCCTATTTGTTACAATTCATTTATGTAGCTTCTAAATTTGTAATTTGCATTAAAAGTCCATTCAACCAAACTACTTCACAAATAGCTAAAGTCATTGCTCCGTACTTTGCCTCGACTAAAGACCTAGAGATTGTGTTTTCGCTTTTTGTTGTCCAAGATAAGAGAGAATTATCGAGGATTATACAATGTTGCTACCCGACGTTCGTAGGACTCCAAAAATTTTTATATGCAGATTTGTTTGAAATTTTTGTTTATTTTGGGATATGAGTTATTAATAATTTCGGAGTCGCCACCTATTATTAAATAAACTAGGAACTAGCAATCTAAAATGGACACTCGGTTCGGAGATTATCGAGTAAGGAGCTAGTTATGCCTTTGGAAAGATATCAATTGTCTAAAGGCACTCTTTCTTGCGAAAAGTATCACGTTTAGTTTACTCTTAAGATTTATCTTCCGAAAATTCCTATTTTTGCAAAAATTAATCCTAAGTCAAAATTTCAAATTTTATTTCCTAAGTCAAATTAATTTTTTTATTTTTGTTTGTGACGTTATATTGAACTCGATCTTCAAACCCTTATGTCGGACATTACGTTAGTTTAATATCGAATTCAATTTAAGTGTTAACATAATCGATATATCGGAAAATAACCTCATTACTAAATGTGATTGCTT